CCAGAACCTCTAAAGCCGAAATTCCTGGGAATCCCTGAAGTCTTTCTGTACGTGGTTCCCTCTTCCTCTCAATGTTGCCTTGGTGAGGTCCTGAGTTTTGTGACCTGGGCTGGCCAGGCAGAGAGCTGGAGGTGGAGGTGGCATGGCTTAGTGGTAGGGCCAGAAGCCAGACATCTCTCCTGTGAGACCTATTGCTCTTATTTCTTTGAAGAATCTTCTGTTAACGTTGAGCATCCCACTGGCTAAGTTCAGTGGTTAGAAAACAGACCCTTCTCATCCCTNGACATCTCTCCTGTGAGACCTATTGCTCTTATTTCTTTGAAGAATCTTCTATTAACGTTGAGCATCCCACTGGCTAAGTTCGGTGGTTAGAAAACAGACCCTTCTCATCCCTTCTCTCTTTTATTCTTGAACTTTCTCGAACGTTTACTGAATACCTGCTAGCGTCTTTCCCTAGGTTACATAAGAAGGATTCCAAAGTTGGGGATACATGGTCCCTACCTTCAAGGAGCTCATAGTCTAAAGAAAAGAGACTGACATAGCCACCAGGTGGTAAGAGGGGATGGTGCAAGATGCCACAGGAGCCCCAAGGAGCGGCTGGTTAATTGTTCGTGGGAGTCAAGGAAAGTTTTACTGGAGGTGGCTCTTGTCAAGGTGGCGATAGGGTAACGGGAGAAGGCATTCCAGCAGAGACAGCACGTGCAAAGGCTCAGGGGCTTGAAAATGTATCCCTTTTATGGGGAGTCATGTGGCCAGGCTTGTATTTTAAAGACCTCACCTTGGTCTGTTAAGAAGAGGTTGGATGGGGGCAAGAGTGGAGCAGAGAGAACAGATGCAGTGTATACAGGGAGTGGGACTAGAGAGGTAGGGACAGACTTGAGGGACATTAGAAAGGGCAGGAATTCTTACCTGATTGTATGTGAGGTGGGGAGAGACAGAGGGGAAGTCTAGGAGGGGAGACGCTAGGATTCTCTCCGGGAAATTGGAGCTGTGGAAAGCAGCTCTGCGATGAAGCTCTGCTGTTCCTGGTGCACCCTGCCGGAGCGGGAACCGTGCTGAGGCTGGGCGTCAGCCACGCGGATGGAAGGACTGCGCTCACTGCGGGAGGCAGACGCCAGGAGGAGCTTCCCGCACTGTCCCATCCCACTGCCATCACAATGCCACTGGGGCCGGGAGGGCGGGAAGGGGGGAGCAAGAGGAGGAAAGGAAAGGAATGGTAGGTTTCCGGGGGTACAGTGAACATGTAACTAACATCCTAACGGGGACGTTTCTGAAAGTGAAAGGAGTGCTCTTAGTAATTTCACCAAGACCCACCAAAGAGGCTTTCCTCCTAGATCAGGTTTGCCCTCCTCTGCCAAGGTTGATGGGTTATGATCTTCTTTCCTTCTCACACCCAATGGAGGGAAGGGCATCTCCTGATAATAACAGAAGTATTTTGTTACTCTATTTACTGAGCACTTAACTATCGCCAGGCACCATGCTAAGCCCTCCTACTTGTATTATCTCATTTAATCCCCACAACAACGCAATGAGGTAGGTACCGATCTGAGCTGATGAGGAAACTGAAGCATAGTAAAGGTAAGTCACTTGTCCAGGGTCCCACAGTTAGTAGGTGATGGAGCTGGGGCAGGCATCCAGGAGGTCTGGCTCCAGAACCTGTGCTCTTAGTCAGATTGCTCTTCTAGGGAGCTGGAGGCTACGCCTTCTCCTGGTTGAGTCCCTGCCATGTTCAGGTGGGCTGGTGAGGCTCAGGATGGGTTGTTGCCTGAGCCTCACTCCATGCTCCCTCCTCAAGCCAGACCCACCTTCTCTTTCATTTCTCACTGGATGACATTGGCCCATTGTCACTGATACCCTGAGGTCCAGAGGCATGAACCACTCACAACTTCCCGCCCAGATCCACCTGTAGACCTGTCCAGGTGTGAGATCACCTGCACCCACCATTCATTCAGTCTCCAAGGACAGGAGTGCTCTCCCCCACTGTCCATAGTTCATCCAAGTCCAGACCTGCTGCTCTGGGACATTGGGGTGCTAATCACTCCTTAGTCTTTTCACCCTTTCTCTCTTCCCTGGATCTTTTTCTTTCCTGTCTTGTTGAAATCTTCTATTCGTCTCACCCAGTGTATACCCCCCAATACATATAGGATAAAACCTAGATTCTGTTTCATGAGAGCCAGGGCCCTTCTGGATCTGGCCTTTCTCCATTCCTCCGGTTGCTTATCTCACGATGCCTTCATGCTCCAGCTCCAGCTCCTCATCTGTAAATGGCCTAGTAACAATCCCTAACACACAGTATCAGGAGGAGGAGATGCTCTAATGGATGGCAAGCATTTAACATAGTTCCTGACACAAGGTAGATTTTCAAATAACATTAGGGATAACTATTATTCCAGTGAAGGTGGAGGAATCTTGGTGGGCTTCACAGAGGGGGTGGCATTGGAGCAAACCCTTGAAGGATGGAGAGGAGGTGGACATGTGGTGTTGTGGGGAGTCAAGAATGAAGGCATGTGGATGTCGGTGCTCATACCCAGAGTGGTTCAGATTGACTAGCCCAGAGGTTGTGGAAGAGAGTAGGAGGGGATAAGGTCAGAAAGTGCAAAGCTAACCTGAGTTTGGTCTTGGCTCTGTGGAAAGTGGGGGGCCATGGAAAATACTGGGGGAGAGGGATTAACTCAGCCACCATCATCTTGCTAAACTGCATCAGCTCCTGAATCACAACTTCCTTTTTGATCCCATGCGTCCAGAGGGGTCCTTTGGAAACCATTCTTCTGCCCTAGGCTTACATCTTCCCTGGCTCCCACTGCTTCTGGGTAAGAACCAGCCTCCTTCCTGTGTGGGCAGAGCTCTGCCTGGCATGGCCCCACCTACCTCCTCTTGCTCACTCAGCTCCATCCACATGGGCCTCTATCTATCCCTCCTGCTCCCTTCAGACAATGATACATGGAACATCTACATATTTGTCATGCAGGGTCTCCCTCAGGGTCTTTGCACATGCTGTTCTCTCTGCCTGGAATACTCTTCTTTTGTGAAAGTTCTATTTAATTCTTACTGATCCTTCATATCTCCATCCAAATGTCCTTCCTCCAGGAATTCTTCTCTGAGTCTCCCCTTTCATGAGGCCTCATAGTACTAGGAAACCTCTTTTTTTGTAACACTACCCACAGTTGCAATTTTACCTCTATTTGTGGGATCACAATGGAGGCCAGCCTCCCCACCAGGCAGTGATCTCTGTGAGCTAGGGACTGGGACACTCTTGCACCCAGCTGCATCCCGCAGGCCTAGCACAGTGCCTGGCATAAATATCTGTTGAGTGAAATTGTGGTTTGGGGGACAGAATGGAGAAGAAGAGAGCTTGGAGCCGAGGGATCTTCAGGAGGTTGTCATCTTGGCTTGAGCGAGAAGTGGGGCCTAGAGCTAGGGCAGGTGCAAAGGACCGGGAGGGGAGTAGCAATGAAATTGACTAGGAGTGGAAACCGATTAGTAGGGTGGGATGGGAGAGGACTTGTGACCGATCAGGAGGACTCTGGGTTGTTGCCAAAACTGGGGCCTGGGCAAGCAGAAGATCTGAGAGGTCGGAAGCTATGGTTGGGGCAAAGCAAATCCTGTCACCTGTGACAGGAGAGTGGGGCTGTCCAGAAGGAGCTTGAACAGGGAATGATGGGGTGGAGTGGGAGTGGGGTAGGTTAGACTTCCAAGAGGTGAAGGTGACAGAACCCTCGGGAGGGCGTTGTCCACATGAAGAGAACAGAGAGGGGAAGTGTAGCTTCTCTGAATTTCAGTTTCTTCAAAAGTGGGCTACACCAATAATGATTTAAACTGAAGCACTCTTTGCTCCTCTGCACATTTTGTTTTAGACAAGTTCATAATAAAGAGCTAAAACAGTAAAAAAAAGCGGTCGACAGTGCCAACCTTGTAGGATGATTCTGAAGCTAAATGAGATAATTTAGGCACAGTCCTTAGCAAGCTGCCTGGTACAAAATAAGGAAAGAACTCAATAAATTGTCAACATCATCATCATCATCAAGGTACTAATCTGAACTCAGGGTTCTCAAATAAGTTGGCCTGAGACAGTCACACTTTCAGTGGACTCCCCCTGTGCCAGTCTAGAAGTCAAACATCTGGGAGTTCTAGAGCTGGAGGTCACAAGCCAGCACTTGCCAGCAAATTGACAAGTGTACTCTCATTGGCAGGGACACGGGGCCACCATGGTGATGCCTGGGACACACTACCTACTGAGCCCACCCCAGGACCTCTCAGGATGCTCTCTGTTCTTAGATTCTCCATCCTCGCCATCACCCACCTGACTTCACCATGTTAAATAGGGCCAAGAAAAACCAAACTCACTGAGAAGGAATGAAATATTGAATGGGGCCCCTGTGAAGTCATGTGTGGCTCCCCCAAACGCAGCCTTCCTGGTTCAAATCCAAGACACCTGCCTTTCTGGTGTGATCTGGGAAGTGGGCTTGGTGGAACAAGGACGTGTGGTTCCTGGGTGGGAAGGGAGGACCAGGGATTTTTTTTCTTTTGTGGCAAGATAGGGCTCACAGGAAAAAGGAGGCAAGCCCGTCAGGCCATAGAAAAAGCCACAGGGACTGTTACAATCTCGGGGCAGCCACAGCAGTGAGCCTAGTCCTGGGGTCTGGAGGGGCCTGGCTTATCTGCTCCCACCAGCTCAGCGTAGCCTGGACCTGGTCCATCGTCTCAGGTCCTCGGTCTCCCCTATACCACCCCAGGGTTTTGTGATTCTGCATTGCTTGGTTCTGCTTCCAGCTGATCTCAGCCAGTGAGGGTCAGGCTTGGTTAGGGTCCTGGCCCTTTGGTTAGGGTCCTGGCCCCTTGAATCCAGGCGACTTCTCCAGGAGAAGACCACTTCCTCCCTTAGGGGGCAGCTGGAGTGTGGGCTGCAGTGGGGACCAGTGTATTCCAGAGGCCCAGGCCAGCGGCCCCCACAAGGCTGTGAGGACAGCCTTCTTGAGGTCTCTCCCACCCTCTCTCTGCAGTCTCGAAGTAGCGTGCAACAGGGGGACATGGACGGGGCCCGGAGGTTGGGCCACCTTGCCCGGCTGCTCAGCATCACCTTCATCATCATGGGGATCATCATCATCATTGTGGCCGTGACTGTCAACTTTGCAGGTGAGGCCCAGCCACATGCCAGCTTGCTTGGTGTGAGGACAGCCAAGGGTGTAGCCTGGCCCCCTGGGACAGAGGCGGTAGGGGGAAGGTAAGAGCCTGTGGGGGCCACAAGCTACCCTCTCACTCCCCTAAAGCAACCCAGTTGCCGGCAGTGCCCAGCTGAGTAGGGCTGCTGTCTGACTGGTCTTATGCCTGGAAAGTGGATTAGGAGAGTGGAAGAAGAGCAGGGGCCCAGGAGTCAGAGGCTCTGACTGCCCTGGGCCGGTGTCTGTCTAGTTTAACTCTAGGGGTTTTCATGTCTAACGCAGTAGGAAGCAGCCTCCAGCAAAGAGGCTTTTGTGAGCATCACCCGAGATAATGGATGTGACTGTCTTTGTAAACTGTGGGTTTGCCACACAAATGTCGGCGCTGAGACAGCCGGGACAGGCCAGAAGCAAACAACACATATGGGGGAAGTTAGAAAGTAACACTTCTGTGAGCACCCAGAGGTGGCCCAAGGAAGTTATTCAAGCAAGGGAACCATTTCAAGGGTGACTCCCAGCTGCCCGCAAGAACCATGCAGCTCCGAGTTTCTGGGCGATGGAGGTCACCGTGGCCCATCTCCCTCTGTCACACACTCACACCCAGAAGCCTCCAGGGATCTCTGCCCCTTCCCGCGACCAATCTAAGCTTTCCCCCAAAGATCTTGCTCCTCCAAATGTGCTCCATGGACCAGCGGCAGCGACTGCAGCCCCCAGGAAAGTGTCAGAAATACAGAATCTCAGGCCCCACCCCAGGCCCACTGGATCAGAATCCGAATTTTACTAAGATTCCCAGCCCAATCATTGAAGTTTGGGAGGCACTGGTCTACACTATGGGGTGTTCAGCTTGGGGCAGAAAACCTGGGACTCAGCCATGGGGTCATGGGCAGCTTGGCCACTGAGGAAAGGGAAAAGGTCAGGTTTGTAATCAGCCTGCCTGGGTTCAAAACCCACGTCCCCTACTCCTCGCTGCCTGGATTGAAGCACATTCTGATCTCTCGGAGTCTGATAGACACGCAGGGACATGAGAGGCAGGAACCCACTCCCCTGGGGCATATGGTGCCTCAGTCTCCTTTGTCCTGATGCTGCTTGTCATCTCAGCCATGACCTTTTTTTTGTTAACCCTCACCAGAGGGTATTTTTTCCATTGATTTTTAGAGAGAATGGAAGGGAGTTAGGGAGAGAGAGAAACATCGACGTGAGAGAGACACATCGATTGGTTGCCTCTCGCATGGGCCCTGACCAAGGCTGGTGATAGAACCTGCAACCCAGGTACGTGCCCTTGACCGGGAATCGAACCCACGACCCTTTGGAGCCTGGGCCGATGCTCTAACCATTGAGCCACACCGGCCAGGGCTGCCATAACCCTTTTGACGGCGTGTGACAGCTATTGAACTCAAAATGGTAAAGGGAATTTGTTCAGCTTTCACTAAGAAACTCAAGCATAGGTGGTTCTGTGTTCAGGGGTCACACACCACAGCCCTCTCACTGGCAGGAGCTCAGTTCCACCAAGAGCCCAAACCAGGTGATCCCTGTTCCCGTTTCCATGAGGAAACAAAAACCCAAATCCTCAAAACAGGGACTCGAGGACCTCACGTTCTGAGCTCTGTTCTGCCATAACTGTGCTTTTCTTTACAGTTCAGAAGAAATAGGAGTCACCAGGCCTCTGCCAGCAGCGGCAGCTCTGGCCAGCGGGACGGCTCCCAGCCCACCCCCACCACCACCGAGGACAGGACAGTGCCTACCAAGGCCCACCTGTCCCCAGGCTCCTAAAGCACACACTCGGAGGGAACCCCCAAGTCCCTCCATTTCAGTCCCCATCAGATGGGAAAAGCCCGAGGAAGGAAGGAAATGAAATTGATTGTGAAACAGTCAGTGACGTGGTTTAATCTCATGGACGCAGCCCGGCACCCGACCCCAGCGTCCTGGCTTCTCTCTCATCCCACGCGTTCCTGGCGTCACCGAGCAGCCTACACTGCCCGCAGGAGAAGAAGCCAGCCCCAGGCAGAGGCGCTGGTTGGGGACACAAGCAGCACACTCCCTGCATGGCCAGGAGCAAAGATGTGGGCTTCCTTTATCTTTGTATTTCTCTTGAGGAGGGATTAAAAAAAAAAAAAAGGCTGTTTGCATGCCTGTGCCACATGCCTGCTGTGATCCCAGCCGGTGCCCTGGAACCCCTGGCACACATGTGAAGCTGCCCTGCAAGGAGGTGACAGCCACACTTAAACCCCATTGCAGGGTGGAGGCGCTGATAGGAATGTTGGTGACAAAGGGAATGGGGACGACAAGAACCATGGACTTCTTCCCGAACTTAGCCTCAGGAGTATCTCTGCCGAGAACCATGGTCCGGGCGAGTCTCCCAGGATGATCCCAGTCCACCTTTTGCTCCCTCCCTGTGCTGCAGTCTGGGGCACCAACCAAGAGCTCTCTCCTGCCCTGGCCCCCACAGTCTGGGGTGCAAACTTGGGGCCCATGCAGAGCAGCTTAGATGGAGCGTGGGCTCCCGGTCCCCAGCCCAGCCTCATCTCATGCCCTGTGCCTCCCCCTGTGCCCCTGGCCATCCACAAACAGCAGAGGCTTTCCCTGGATGAGGCTTTGGGATCACCCCTGGGGAGCGGGGACTTCCCAAGGGCTCCTGGGCTGTTAGTAGTGTTGGTGCAGCCTGTAGGGAAGTGGGCCAGAGAGTTTTTACGAAGGTTTATCATTTCTCAGTCTAGAGAATCCAAGACAGAGGGAGCTTGGCTGAAGGGTCCAGTCTGTGGGAGAGTGGGGGGCCATGGGTTCGGGAATATACTCACATGCCCGGAGGCAGGGGCTGGACACCATGGCCTCTGTCTAAGGACCTAATGGGATGTCTAAAATGACCGAGCAGGGCCCCTGGGCCTCCTGCCTGGATTTTGGCTCCAGATTCTCCCCAAACTTCCCTCTGGTATAGGCTCTACCCACAGGGGCCACTCCTGTGTCCACCTTCCCCACTGGCTTTGGCTCCCAGACTCTGGAATAGAGATGCTCCAGGCTCTCCCTCCCTCAGTGGGAGGGCAGGTTCCTAGCCACAGCCAGACTGGCCCCCGATTGGCCAAGAATGTTTCCCTTGAGCCTGTTCACAGCACTCATGCCTCCTCTCGGGGCCCCTGCCAGTCTCTCCCACCCTCCTCATAGGCCCCTGGGAGGGAGTCTGTTAGCGCAGAGGCTCTGTCTGCCAGGAGGGCTCTGGATCCTGAGCACAGCCCAGACCCAAGTGGCCACCAGGAGGGGAGGGGTGCAGGACCCAGGGGATCCCTCTGGGGCAGGCTTAGTCCCCCACCAGGGAATCAACTCCATCCTCACCCCACCCTAAAAAAGGGGCTGGTTGGGTTTGCTTTAAGGGACCTTTGAGGCCAAAATAGAGATGCCCTGTTTATCAGGAGGCTGGANGATGCCCTGTTTACCAGGGAGTCTGGGGTGACCCAGAGTATTTGTGTCACTTGCAAGGTCAGGTCAGGCCAGGGCAGCCCTGATTCTACAGAAAATGACCTTCATAGGCCCCCAGCTCTGGAACGAGGGTCAGGAGTCACAGGTGTCCCAGCAGGCGCCACGGGCCCTCAGCTTCAGCATTTCAGGGAGAAGAGAGACGTGAACCAGGGGAAAATGATGGCAGAGGGTCCCCCACTGCCCACACCCCACAGGCAGCCAGCCACCCCCAGGCCTTGCTGAAGCTGGAAAGATAGGGCCCTGCTGTCCCAGGTCCATGGGGGGTCCAGCCATCGGCTGCATGAACACTGTGGCCCCAACTGGGGTGCTGACCCAGTCTCTCCCCAAGTCCTATAGGGAGCTGCAAGAACTACCCTACCGACCTCACCACACTCACTGGTTCACTCCTCTGTATTCCTCAGCATGGAAAGAAATAAAGCTGACTGCACTCGCGCACCCCAGGCCTGCGTGTTTGTGCTGCTGGGTCAAGGGGTCCAGGCAACTGCCAGAGGGGGTGGAGTGGGGCAGGGAGTTTACTCAGCCTCTCAGTCCCAGGGTCAGGCTGAGAACTGGGCACCCAGAAGCCTGGGCACCATGCCAGCACAGGCATTGTCCTGGACAAGTCATTGGTCCTCTCAGGCCTCAGTTTTCCTGGTGAGTAAAGCCTGTCCCATCTTCCCTAGGTCATTCTTTCTGCATATGAACAAAGGTCTCAGGAGTGGAGAGAAGGGGGTAGGAAACAAGCACTTGCTGGTAGCCTGGTGCATGCTGGCATTTTATACTCTGGTAAATCTACCAGGCAGTCCAAGGGGGTTACTAGTGTTATCCTGGGGGTTCAAATTGGTAAACCAAGGCTCAGAGAGGTTCAGAAACTGATTCTGGGTCCCACCATGCCTGGCACGCAGAAGACACTGAAAGAAGGCTGGTGAATGGGCCCCATCCTGAGGTCTGGCCCCAACACTGGCTTCTTGCTGCCATGCTGCTGTCCAGAGAGGAAAGCCCTATAGAAGGGGGGTGAGATGGTTGGGGGAGAGGAGGGTCTATTTCCCAGGCTGCAGGATGAAGCAGGCAGGGGTTGCTTGACAGTAGAAGGTGGCAAGGACCTCAGAAGGGCAGGCCATGGAGGTAGGTAGGTGTGGGCAGAGCCCAGGCTGGGCAGGCAATGAAGGAACTGTCACATGGCCACGATGAGCTGCCAACACTGAGGGCAAGGGGATGGGAGAAGGAGGGAAGGGCATGGGGTTGGAGTGGGGCAGGAATGAAGGGAGAGTCAAAGGGCCTGAGAGGTGGCAGTAGAGTAGATCAGGGTGTGGAGCTGGGGGCAGCAGCCTGGGTTCAAATCCTGCCTGGCCACATATTAGCTGAGTCCTCTTGAGGAAATTCCTTTCAACCAGAATAGGGGCCAGGGGAGCACTTCCCATGTGCCAGGTGCTGGGCTCTTCAGTTTGTGTATATTATCTCATTTAATCCTCACAATATCTCATGTGTCATCCCTGAGAAGAAAATGAAGGTTAGAGAGGCCCGGTGACTTGCCCAAGGTCATGCAGTCAGGACAACGTGAAGCAGGACAGCCCTTTGCGGATGCTTTGGTGGCAGGAGCCTCCTCTGCCTTAAAAAGTCTGAGCTATTCCAAGGGAGCTGGCCATATCACTGGCCTTTAACTGCACCACTATGACAGTCGTAGTTTTCTCTACAGCTTTTTGCTTGGGTGCTGCACTGTGACCTTTTCAAAGGCATTTGAAGCACCACCTGGGGGTCTAAGTTAAGATGAACCGTCACCAGTGTAACGCTACCAACTTAGTAACACTCAGGTTCCCTGCCACCTTCTCACACGGGCAATACCAGGAACATCACATTGCTCACGGACTCACTGTCCAGCTTGGTCTGAATGTTTTGTTGGCATCATTTGTCAGACACAACCCAATTTTAGAAACTTTAAAATGGAGGAAACAAGGATACACGTGTCTTAGAATCAGTAAGAAAAGTTGGAGCTTCCATAATGCAGAAGGCTTCAGATGACTGACGGCTGTGCCCAGAGAAGCAGCCTGTCCTCTTTGAGCACTGACCCCCCACCTACAAATGGGGTGATGATCTGCTCTGCACACCCACAGGGTGTGGGAGGCCTGATGGCACTTCCTGGTGAACCCTGAGGGCTGGACACACGTGGGGGACACAAATAACAATTTCCTGGGACACGGCCTGGAGAGCACCCCAGAATCTGGGAGGTTCTGGGCACTCCAGGCGACCCTTGAGCCTCTGCTCGCCTCCATTCCCAGCCCTTCCCTCCGCTTCCTGCTGCCGGAGAAGACAAGGAGCTCACTGGCCCTTCTACTCATTGGCCGTGTCATCTTGGGCAGGCCCCAGCTCTCTCTGGGCCTCAGTCTCCCCAGGTAAAGGAGTGAGCTTGTCTAGAGCAGGCTCCTCAGTCCTGGCTGCACATGAGGATCACCTGGGAACTTTGAAAACTACGGATGCCTGTCTGCCACGCCTAGGGAATCTGGTTTAAGTGACCTGGGGTGTGGCCTGAGCATTGGGTTTTTAAAGGGCTTTTCAGGTGATCCCAATGGTCATTTGAGGTTGGGGGCCACTGGGCTAGACTCTAGGCTCTTGCTACTCAAAGTGTGATCCCTGGACCATTAGCGTGGGCATCACAGGCGCTGTCAAAAATGCAGAAACTCGGAGGGAAACAAGATGGCGGCGTAGGTGGCAGCTGTCCCCGCCGCCTCCCGCAACCACATCAAAATTACAACTAAAATACAGAACCACCATCGCGCGGAGCCTCCTGAGATCTGGCTGAACAGAAGCCCCACAACCAGGGACCTGAAGAAGCACCGAGGCCGGGAGGAGGGGCGGAGACGCGGGCGGAGCGGGGCTGAATCGCCGAGACGCGGCCGCAGGCCCACACGCGGTGCCGCGGGCTAAACGCGGGAGGGAATCTCGGCGGCGGGGGTTTCCCGGAGGAGTGAGGGTCCCAGCCCCACAGCAGGCCCCCAGCCNAGCGGGGACTGTCCCTGAGGGTCGCGGAGGCTGCGGAGCCCCAGCTGCTCCTCTAAAGGGCCCGGCACGGACTCACTCAGACACGCTCCCTCAGAGCCCAGCGCCGGGAGCAGCCTGAAAGGACCCGGGACACTCGGGGAGGAACTANAGGGGCAGCTTCCTCCCAGGCAGAAGGGCTGGCGGAGGCCACGGCTCCTGTGACCAGTCCTCCCCGCACACAGCCGGCAGGCAGGCGCCATGTTTGAGTCGCCAGCACCTGACTCGCACCTTTGGCCCCGCCCCGTGATTCCCGGAGGCCCCGCCCCCCCACCTGCAGCTCATCCGGG